AGATGCAAGTTAAAATCAGTATTTAACTCTAGGAAAGTCTCCTAGTTCTACTTTCATTCCCTCTAATGCAAGTAATAATAATTTTTTTCCTGACAACTTTTATCTACGAGTCTTGGTGTACCTTACACATTGATGCTCTCTTACAGCTTCCCAGCCTCCCAGTAAGAGACCTGTTGTCTGACACAGGGGCAGTGATGAGCACAGGGCCTGCCATGGGATATTCTGAGCCAATGTTAGCAAGAATTTGAACCCAGCTTCCTGCTTCTGCATTTTTATAGTAATACAGACCTACAGCTACCTATGCAATGATTTTACTCCAAGAACAATTTACAATAGCAGGGAAGGTTCGGGGGTGTGTGTGTGTGTGTGAGAAAATAGGATAAAAGCATTTGATTTTCATAATTCTTAATTCTCAATTCTCCTCATCCCTTTTCAAATTGTATTGTTAGATGCATTTCTAAGACTTTCTCTTGAAGGAGGAAAGAAGGCATATTAATTTTAAGCTATTATTTCATACTGTTCATTAGCTGCTGATTAAAGAACTTTTGCAGTGATTTATAACATCATTATTTCAAACTCCTACAAGAAAGGTGGGCCTGAAAAAGTACCATGTTTGAAGATTGTGAGATTTGAGCTGTGATGGAAGAGAATAATGTTCCCTTGGATATTTTAAGGAGAACACTTTCTCCCTGTCTCATGAATTAATTTTTTTTATTTTTTTTTTTTTTCATGGACAGTTTCCTCAAATGCTAACATGGTGAGGTATGGAAAAAAATTAGGGTAGACTTAGGTTAGACATTAGGAAGAAATCCTTTACTCTGAGGGCGATGAGGCACTGGCACAGGTTGCCCAGAGAAGTGGTGAATGCTGCATCCTTGGTAATGTTCAAGGCCAGGTTGGATGGAGCCTTGGGTGACATGGTCTAGTGGAAGGTGTCCCTACCCATGGCAGGGGGTTGGAACTGGATGAGCTTAAAGGTCCCTTCCAACCCAAACTGTTCTGTGATTCTATGAAAATAAGTATTGAGATAATGGACTCTCATTTCTTACTTTAAAGAAAAGGACCAAAAAAGCAGATAGGTTCCAGAACTGTAATGTAATGTCTTCAAAGAAGGCAGACACCAGCATTGTGTATCAAATGCAGTGTCTGAATTGGTTTTGTGTGTTGCAAAGTCTAGTCTGGAAAAGGGTACTGAATAAATAACTTCTCAGAGCTGGGTTAGAAAAATGTCCCCAGTGATTTGATTAGTAAAGGTGGCACTGCTGCTGCTGTTTGGCCCTGCAGAATAAAGAGCAGCTCTATGGCTAATCATAATTCTGGCTGCAAACAGGATCTGTGTGAAGATGACATTATAGTTTCAGGCAGTTTCTTACAATTTTTTCCTATCCTCAACCAATGTTTTGTCCGTCCAGTTGGGATTGACCTGAAGTAACCTGCTTGTTTTGTCCTCAGTTCACAGGAAGAGTTATGCAGCATCAGCAAAACTTTATTGCCCATATTTGCATATTTACATAGATGGAGAATCAAGGATCAGAGAAGAACTTGAAAGTATAACAACTTAGTATTCCCCAAACATCTCACATTTATTAATTTGAACCCTTTGAGATTTTGCAGCTTGGACAGGCTATATGGAAATGAAGCAGCTGCACATCACAGCCTTCAGAGATCTAGCATAAACGTAAATGGAGCTGTCTTCAATTACATCTGTCCATTTCTGCCAGGTGTGAAGGTGCATGGAAGTTCCTTTGATCTCTACTCCATAGAAATTGATAAGTCTGTGTGACACTGGATACATGTTCTCAGGAGATCATGGATCCGTGTACTCTATTGTCCCAGAGCATAGGTATGGGGATTCAATCAAGTTGAACTTGATTTTCTCTACCTTCTCTGCAAATTTGTCCAGCAAAAAGAAGTCTGAATCCAGTTACAGTTCCTGAGAGCATTGATACCCCTGCTTTCCCTCTCACCTTTCCCACTTCTCATGCTCCAGGCATTTCCTTTTGTGCTTTGTAAATAGTTTGGGGCAGAGGGTTCATCTGTGTACATGAACATATATATACATGCTATCACATGTACCCAGGCTGTTGGATGCTTTCAGTATGTCATGAGCCGTTAGCAAACTACATAATCCCTAAAGGCTTTCACCACCCAACAAGGCAAGACACAGTCCTATTCTTGACAAACTTGCTCCTTGGAGGCCTGGTCCTAACAGACAGTAAGAGTTCCTCATTCCATTATCTATTTGTCAGAGAAACTCTTCCAACAGTCCCCCCCCTGCAAACCAATGTGTAAAGCTGCAGCAAGACCCACCAGTATTTGGATGAAGGGTGTGCAGATAACTTCTGCAAGTTCAAGCTGCAGGAACCATGCACTGAAAGCAAAGTCAGTTCAGTGGTCAAAGGAGAAATGGAAAAAGTTATTTGTCACAATTATATTCAGACCTATGTCCTTGCCACTTGTTGCTCAACAGCCCTGCGCATAGTCTAGCTACTGCCACTAGCAAATACTGGAAACTTGTAGAGGCAAAGTTCAAGAAACTGAAAGCTTGTCCTTTGACAGCAGATGGCTGTAGTGCTTCAGCCACTGGATGATCTGCCTTGTAGTGAAGTATTCTTCATCTGGGTTTTCATGCTATCAAAGTAATGAAGTTTCTTAAGAACATGCAGGTTTTGTCAGAGACCCAGTAAGTCAGAATTTTTAATGCCAGTGGCTGAACCATAGTATATGCTTTTACTCAGGTGTGACATAGATCCAGCCCAGTTTGTGTCCATGAGAAGCACTGGAGAGACTGCGTGGGAGACTGGGGTTGCCTTGTATGTGAAACCACTGCTTGTGAAGACACTAGCTCATGTTTTAACTAGAATGTCACACAAGTGCAAGGAAGGTGAAAAGATGGCACACACCTGTACTGGTCCTGCCCTGTATTAAGTAGTGCTTTGCTTTACTGTGGTTTCAGCTATTTGTCTTTAGTGGAAACATGGAGGTGACTGAGTCAGAAGTAAGTTTTCCAGTGCAGAAATCTCCTGAGTTTTTAAAGACTGTGAATGTCTCTTCTGTATTTGTGTCCTGCAGCCAGACTCAGTTTGTCAGTTCAGTGACTGTCACAGAAAGCAGGCATTCCTGCTTACCATTTAATTACCCGGTGGC